ACTCTAGCCAGATTTGGACCTTATATATATATATATATATATATTCTAGACACCATATGTATATACTTGCTCTTTTCTGTGTAGTGTTTTTGGTGTACTGTGCTGTGTGTAGGGACCTGTCGGGTCGTTACACTTACAACTTTATCATTTATGAACATATGGCTTAAAACATCATAATATTACAACTTGATCAACTCCATCAACTCCAACCTAACATTTACTCGATTATCTCAAATATAACTTAACTCTTAGAGTCCCCTAACTTTAGAGTTATCAATCAACAACACCAAGGTTGCATTTGGAATACACATTAGAACAGAATAGGATGAGACATATGAGTTTTGTTCACCGTTTGGTGAAATTAAAAGGGAGAACAGAACGGGGCACGAATTAAAATAGTGAAATACTTTTATTCTCCTAAAAAAGGTGAAACCAACTGGAACAGGACATGATATTTTATTAAATATTTTTAAAGAAAAAATTATCACTCATTACCTTTATAACTCTTTCATGTTTTTTTGTTGTTGTCCTTTTTGCATCATTGAAATTTTTGTGCTTTGCTATTTGCATGCATCATATAAACTACTAATCATTTGAATTATTATCGTTTACTAATAGAGAGAATGTTAAACCCATTTAAATTATTTCATATTTACGTATTTAAAAAATAATTATAAAATATTAATATTAATATATTAATAATTTTTAAGAATATTATATAATAATAGTCATAAAATAACTACCTAACTGAAAATGTTTTGAAACTATTTATATCTTTAGATAGTTTTACACAATGTTACTATAAGTCATGGCGGTCCACATGGCCATGAGAGTTATAAGGAAATAATTGTTACAACTAGTAGTGATTTATTATTAGTTGTTATAAGTTGCAACAACATAAAATTGACTAAGGGGTTGCTATGAGTTGTAGTAACTCCATTAAATTTTTTAAGGGGTTGCAACAGTCTATAACAACCCGTTTTTTATTAAAAAAATTAAATTTTTTAAGAGGTTATTATGGGTTTTAGTGGCCTCATTTTTATTTTATTTTTTTATTGAGCTGCTGTGACTCGTATCATTTTTATTCTTTTTTTTTTTTTACAATTTTGGGCTTATGACATCATAACAACCATGTTTATAATTTTTTAATTGCCTTATTTATGCTAATATATAAAGGGAACCCTTTTAGTAGTTTCCAACACATTTGGTAGATCATTATATTTTTTTATTATCATAATTTTTATTTATCAAATCCAGGACATGAACTCAAGACTTTCACACTCGATAACCAATTACAATACTAATAAGACCAATATACTTATCTCAATTTTTATTTTATTTTTAATAGAATAAGTGGTACTATGGACCATAACAACCATGTTTTATTTTTATGTTTTTTCTTTTTCTTTTACGTGACCAAGACCTGTTTATAATTTTAGTAAAATGAGATATGTATTTTATTTTCAAAATTCAAATATTATATTTCTTTTTCATCTTTTTTTTTGTTGTATTTTTTACACCTTAAATTATAAAATTAAAAAAAAAAAACTTACTGTACATGATAATTTTTGACTCTATATGACAATATAAAATTATTTTAGAATTTGATTTTATACTCTATTTTCTCATATTTTAAACGTAAACTATTTGATATAAAAATAATATATTATTATTATCAATATTAATTCTTTAATATTTAATTAGTAAGTACCATAAAAGGAAAAAATATTTTTTTTATTAATATTATGTTATGTATATCTATTGTTCCGATATGTATAAAAGTCTCACATCGCTTAGGAACTGAGTTTAAAGGTAGTTTATAAACACCCTCTCTCCTTAATTAACTAAAGTGCCTTTTAAAGGACAAAATTGTGATGACCCAAACATACTTAGTGCTAAAATTTATTTTACTCTTATTAATATATAAAATAATTGCACAAATTATCATAAATAAGTATTTATTATTTTGAATAAAAATAAAGAGTATATATATTTTATTTTAAAAAATACTAAATAGAACAGGTACATGCATGTTTAGAATTTTTTACTAAAATAATATTTTTTTAAAAAAAATTTACCAAAAAAACATTTGTACAACTTTATTTATACAAATAGAACCTTTTACTGTTCATGTTTAGAATTCGGTTCCCGGGGAACTGAATTCTGAGAAGTGTTTAAATTTTTTTTTCTTTTCTGTTTGTAGTTCGGGTTGTGGGTAAATATTGCAACCGGAACGACCCGTTCTCCAAGCAGAACGGGCCGTTCTGCTTGCACGAATAATCTGTTATTTTTGAAACTGGAACGTCCAAGCAGAACGACCCGTTTTGATGCATTCGTCATGTGTGTATTTTTGCATCCGGAACGGCCCGTTCTGAATGGAGAACGGGTCGTTCTCCATTCAGAACGGGTAGTTCCGATTCCAATTTTACACCATTCTCAGGTCCAAAAACGCAAAAAAAAAAAAAAAATTAATAGCTCAAAATTCGGTTCTCCGTGAACCGAATTCTGAACGTGAACAGTAAAATGTTCAATTTGGATAAATAAAGTGGTACAAAATTCTGCATGTTTATTGAGAAGAAGTTAGAAGGCCTGGAACGAAGGTTGTAAGAAGAAAGAAGAGACAAGGGAGAAGACAGTAGTATAGTATCGAGGTGGGTGAGTGAGGACCAGGATCACGATGGTTGCAGGTGGAAACGCTGAACTCGAACAAGGTTTGAAAAAGATTAAAAAAAAGGGAAAACATGTTTTACTGCAAGAGCTTACTATGTAGCCATGTTCATATTTTGTCTGCTGCGGTGACCCTTAGTTGGCCCGTATCCATCAGTCGCTGTCTCTCTTTATTATCATAACCAAGACACGCCGCACACCCATTCACCTCATGCCTATGCACCATAAATTATTAACACCCACTATTCATTCACACTTCTAACTCTAACTCACCTCTTTTAAATTATATATATATATATCTATATATATATATATATATATATATATATATATCTTTTAACT